CGGGCTCGTATGGTCTGGACGTCATCAGCCGCGTGATCGAGGTAGTCTCGGGCCAGGCTGACGTCGCGACGGGGGGAGAGGCAACACCGACGGTGGGGAGAGCGAGACCTGGGAGGTTCGCGGTCCGAGTTGCCTTCGGGGTCACCTGCGCGAGCACAGGCCCTCCCGTGGCGCAGAGCCGCGAGCCATCTTTCGCCGCCTTTCGCCGCCGCTACGCGCCAGCCTTTCGTGGGAGGTTCCTGGGCGTCGACGCCGTGAAACGTCGCCATTCTGAGAAGTAGAGATCTCGACCTCGTGCCTATGCAGGGTTCCTCGAGCCGAATCGATCCGTGACTGTCCCCCCCGAAGGCCCCCGAGATCTCGGAGGCCTAGGGACGCCTCCGTGAGCTTCCAGAGGCTCCTGCTGGCCCACAAAAGGCTCCAAGCGTCCAATTACCCAGATCCTGGATCGGTCCGTGAGGGCCTCGGGGCCCGAATCGGAGCGAGGCCTCCTCCCTCCCTCTCTCCCTCCCTCCGTCCCTCTCTCGCGTCTCGCTCCCTCAAGTCTTGGCTTGGGGGGCAGCCCGACGGCTCCTCGCGCGGGAGGGGCCCCAGCATTGGGTTGCGCTTCACCACGTCCGCTGGCCCCCCCGCGCCGTCGCGGCGGGCGCCCCCCCCCCGCTTGAACTGCCCCGCGCTCCCCTGCAGAGTCGACCAGGCCCAGGGCGCGCCGGAGGAGGAGGAGGAGGAGGAGGAGGAGGAGGAGGAGGAGGAGGAGGAGGAGGAGGAGGAGGAGGAGGAGGAGGAGGAGGAGGAGGAGGAGGAGGAGGAGGAGGAGGAGGAGGAGGAGGAGGAGGAGGAGGAGGAGGAGGAGGAGGAGGAGGAGGAGGAGGAGGAGGAGGAGGAGGAGGAGGAGGAGGGAGGAGGAGGAGGAGGAGGAGGAGGAGGAGGAGGAGGAGGACGCCAGTAGAAGGTGAGTCCAAGTCGCCCGAACCCACTCTACACCGAATAAATAAACAAAAACTCGAGGGCCCCAGATCGGTATCAGCCAGGACCCAGGACCCTCAGCCGCTATCTAGGCGGCAGCCCACTCCTCAACCTCTGGAGGCGGGTCATCTGAGCGCTGAGAGTCTTGGGGACCTCCGAAGGTCCCTGACAAGGGGCTTTGAGACCAAGCACCCTCCCAGACTCCCCAGCGAAGCACGCACACCGCACACAGAAGACGTACGCACCCGCCTCAGCCATCCGATGGCCGAGGTCGCGGAACAGGGCCAAGTCGGCAAAACGCCGAGCCCCAGAGCCCTCCCCAGAGCTCGGCGCCCAGGTGGGGCCCGTCTCAAGGACCCTTGCCGCCGCCTCCAGGGCGACATGGACCGCATCGGAGGTCGGCCTCCAATCGGAGCAGCGAGAGAGAGCACGGGCGGCCTGCCAGCGCTGCACCTCGGTCGGCGTGCAGCGCGCCGAGCAGGACCTGAGGGCGCGGAGACCAGCTGCAGTCCTGGTGGCGACTCCACACCGCCTGCATCTCCATTCCTGGGCGGCGTCGCTCCTATACATGCTGTGGCACGAGAGGGGCTCACCAGGCTCTAAAATTTCAACGGGGGTTGGGCGGGGGCCAGGCCTCGGACGAGAACGAGCAGCTCCCTCCGACGACGACGACGCCCCAATCCCCAGATCAATGGCCCGACCCCCAGCCCAAGCCAGATATTTGGCGAACTCCTGGCACTCCTTGAGCGCGATCCGAAACAGATCAGCCGTGCCCTGTCCAACCATCTGGCTGGCAGCACCAGCCTTGGCAAAGAAATCAGCCCAGGCATTTCCCAGGACGTACACAAACGGCGGGCCAGATCCAGGGGTCGCCAGGGCCGCATCCGACAGGTCCCTATGGGCAGGACACCAATGAGTGGTGGGCGGGACCCCTCCGCGACGCACGACCGCCGCGCGAATCTGCCGCCACACAGCGGCATGCTCAGCCCCTGGACCTTCAGACTCCGCACTCCACTCCTGAGCTTCATTGGCCAGGCCCAAAAGATCAGTGACTATGACCTGCAGCGACGGGATTTTTTCCACCGCCCGCAAATAGGCGACCCGCTCGGCCTCGCCAGCCGTCTGACTGGCGCCTCCGAGCCTGCCATAGCACGCTCTTAGTGGCGTGCCCGACGCGCTCAGCTAAACAACGCCCCAGCCACACGCCCTAATCTCTGGTTGAGAAGACCACATACCCGACCCGTCCGTGAATGCAGCATTGGACCACTGCGAGGGATCAGATTCCCAATCCCCCCACCAAAAAATCGGCGGGTCACGCGGAGGGTCAGGAGGTCTCATCGGGAGCAACGGGAGCCCAACCGACAACTCAAAACTCTCAGGGTCCAGAGCGGCCCTTGGGCGCCCAACAGGCCCCTGGTCCAGAAACCTATCACGAGTTTTGGCCAGGGACTCAGAAATCGGAACTTCATCTTCAAATTCCAACAGCTGCTCACGCAGCACAGGGCACTCGAGCAACAGGTGACCACACGTCTCTCTGTCCGCTCCGCAGCCCCTACACTTAGGATCGGGGGCGAGCCCTTTGTCATGCAACTTGGCCTGGGGCCACCAGGAGTCAGACCAGAGAGACCGAAGGATTCCAGCCGACCTGGGGTTTTTGAGCGCGGCCCACTTGGACCCAGCACAGGCGCGGATCCCACGGGGCCACAACTCGGCGTCCGCGGGGAAACCAGGAAAATGAGCCTGGATGCGACGCATCTGCCAGCGCTGGATGCCAGCACGAAGCAACTTGATTAAATGCTGCGGATCAATCTGTAGCAAAGAGTACACCATTCCCTGATCGGAACGGATCAGCACAGAAGACTCCATGCACCAGTCAACGCGAAGGAGAGACAGCGCCACCGCCGAAACCGGGCCCGAGGCATGGAGCCAGGAGAATTTCTGACCCCGCTTTTCGGCCAGGGCCCTCCAGGGCCTCTCGAGAGTCCCCAGGGGCACAGTCTGCATCCAAACAACCTGGGCGTAGTGTTTGACTGGGGCGATCGTGGCTTCAAAAATCGGGTCACACCACGGATCCGACTGAGACGCCAAGTAGACCGTCAGGGACCCCCCACGACCCTTGGCGCCAACCAAAGCCCCCGCAGCAGCTCTCAACTTCCGAAGCTCGGCGTCCGTGGTCCCAGAAACTGCACAGCAATGACTAGCACCTGGAAGCAGGCCAGTGCGCCACAGGACGGACACGCGAGTCCCTGCCACCTTCTGCAGAGGATAAACACGCTTCATGCGACGACCAAGCTTAGCGATTCTCTGTCGGGTGAGTGGCCGCCTGCGCTCACGCCCAGAGAGCTCGTGACCAAGGTTACGCATGTTACGCTTGGCTTCAGCCGAACCGCTCGGGCCCAGGGTTTCGAGGCCCGCAGGGCCTTGCGATTGGCCACCACGCAGCCAGACTTCCCCGAGGCCGAGTCCTGGATAACGATCCCCAGAGGTTTAACATCAGCTTTAAAGTTGGCCAGCGCAGTAAAAAGTTTAGAGATCCCACCCGCCTCCACCCCCGCCCACTGAATCGTGAGGTCATCGACCAAGGCGCGAGGCACGACGCCGCTCGCTCGGACACGCCGCACAGAGCGCAGGGTGAAGGGCGTGAGGAGGGAGGTAGAATGGGCACAGCCTGCAAGCATGCCCTGCCAGGAAACAAAGGCCTCTGTATAGGAAGTGAAAGCCTTCAGTACCCTCGGCTGGCGATGGTATTCGATCACCATCCAGGCCAGCCGAAGAGGAAAACCATGGTGGCGGGCCTCACTAATCAGCTCGCCAGGGCTGACGGACTCGTAGGCCTTCCACGCGTCCACCGCCGCCGTCGCCGTGTGCCAGCCAAGCAGCGACGCGACCTCCACCATCAGGTTATGCTCGAAAGCCGCCGCCGAGGAAGTGCGAGCAACGCCTCCAGCTCCCCAGACATCTCGAAGGTCTGTCTGAGCAACCCACTGCCGACTGATGGAGCTGCGGGCCTTAGCCCACACACGAACCAGCGTCTGTACCAAAGCGATGAGACGAGACCCGCCTCCTTCCTTCGGCAGCCTAACCAGCGTGGTGAATATGCGATTGTCTGGCCAGAATCCCAAAATCTCGCACCGTTGAAACAACTTTGACAGCACGATGGGACCTGCGTCCGAGAGGTGCCACAACGCTCGAGGAGCAATCCCCGACTGACCCACAGCAGTCTTCGCCTTGAACTTCAGGCAGACACACCGCAGCATGGCCACGGACATCTCGGGCAGGTGGTCCCAGTCGTCGAAGTCGGAGGGCCGAGAACACTGCGTGAGGCCATGCACCGTCCAGATCTTCTTCCACTTATCCATCTCTCGCTGCACTAATTGATGGGGGCTGGCCCGAGTGGTCTGCTCCAGCACCTCCTGCAACGGATGAACACGGGTAAAACGATGCGCCATTGAAGCACCGCCACTTAACGCATCACAAGCCCACTGACGCCAACTGGCCCCTTGCTCACGCTCGAACTTCTTCCTAGCGTCATCAGCACGATCCAGGAAGCTTTGTACTGTGTGTCCAGCCACAGGGTCTGTCCAGACAGTGATGCCACGAGCCAAGAACTGCGCCAGGTCCACATCCAGCTTGCCGAGCGTCTCCGACGCCCGACCAATCTTCAAGTAGAACTGATTCAGCTCACACAGCAACCCAACTAATCGAGAAGTCTGACCACTAGTGACCGAGCACACCACGTTGGCCGCCATCAGCCTCTGCCCAAGCTCACAAACCTGCTGCCACATAGGGCGACCATGCCTGAGCCAGCGTGCCGCCACCTGCAGCACCGCCACCTGCGGGGTCTGGTACACTCTCCGCCGAGGGGGCTTCCACTCAAGCTTCGCCATGCGACAGGCAACGTCACACCCACGGCCTCCATGCGACGAACGATCCGAATGTCTGTGTCCCCATCGATCAGAAAGCTCACATTCAATACTATGCAACACCTGGTCCCAAGCGCGCTGTAGGCCCACCCGGCCCTCAGCTGTCAGAACACAATGTAATGCACGTTCCCATTCATGAGTCCGCGGGAAAGGCGCACAGCCAATCGGGGCCTCGGACCCCCAGCCACGAGGCTCCACGGGCAGTCGAGCCCACGCCTCAACATCTTTCACAGCCAAGGGAAAGTGAACAGGGTGATGTGGGTACAGCTCCGACTCCTGGTCCACCCAAGGTGGGTCCACCCGCAAAGTTAAATTGCTGCAAACAATGCCGAAGTCGATGATGCTGCCTTGGCCTTTCACGCAAGTGCTCTCCCGCGGCACACAGTGGACTCCTGGAAACCCTTGGCTCCAACCTGTCATCAACACATCCGAGCTCATGTTGAAGTCGCCAACACAGACCCAATCAAGCTTTAAAGCCGAAAGCAACAGCAAGTAGTGTTGCAGGTGGGCCTGAATGAACGCGTTCTCGTCATTGATTCCGACCGAATCGTGAAAATAGGCTGACACAACTACGATGCCATTGCGCACTCCCCAGTGAAAACGAGCAGCACAAAGCCTTCCAGGCGCAATGTCCTGGTCGAAGTAGGGCGCCGCAGTGACCGAGATGTGCGTCTTGGTGAGGATCGCCACACCACCAGAGGTTCCACCACCTTCTGACGGCACCGCAGCACTCCACACACCATGATAGCCGAGATCCTTCGCCTGATTTTGCAACGAACCCAGCCGAGACAAGATGCCATGATGCTCCTGCACCGCGATAATGGAGCTGGGCGGGCCAGCTGCTAAAAACTTGATGAGAGGGCCGCCGCTCGAGACGTTCGCCGTCGTGATGAGGCCCTTGACCACCCTCTCATCGCCACCGCGCCCGCCTGCATGTAAAAGTTGCGCAGGCGGCTGTCCTGACACGTTTTTCGAAACTGCTGCGAGCTCCGCATGGGGCGAGAGAATCGCCTGCGGCTGCTGGTACCCTCTGCCACCCGATGCCACAGAGGGCGAAGGTGGTGAGCAGTGCATACAGCCGCTGGCGTCGGAAATCGAAGTAGACGAGCCGCATGTCGACCATGTCTCGCCACGAGGAGGTAGCACATGTGGCGACCTCTGCTGAGCCTGCTTCGCAACAGGCCCAGTGAGTGCACCGCTCGACGCCGAGGAACCAGTCGCCCCCGAACTCCCAGCGCTGCATGCCGAACCCCCCGAGGTCGAGGTAGTAGGCAGAAACGAGCCTGAGAAAGAACCAGACATCATCATGGCGAACGACAATAAACATCGTAGCACGAGCATGATTATCCAGCTATTAATACGGGCTCCAGGCCGTCGCGCCACTGAAGGTTTTCTTGGCCATCGCCCGCAACTCTTCAACTTCTGACGGTAGCTCTCCGACGAAGCCAACTGCCGGGAGACCTTCCCGCAACTTGTCTTCTTCCATCCCGTCAAAGTCAGGCTCCGTGAGCTTCGGCCTCTTCTGGGACGGCTCGCCATCAGAACCAGTGGATACCCCGCCCCCATCAGACGCCTGAACAGGTACCACCAGCTTGTCCACCAGCGGGTTGGCCTTGACCGCAACGAGTAACTCTCCATGAATGCCAGCCGCCGCCAGCAACGCGTCCAGCACCGACGTGTCGATCTGCCCGCCAGCAGCAGGCTTAGCACCATCAGGAGGCTGCGGAGCAGATTTTCCCAGCTGTTGCAGCTGGCCCTCGAGCTCCACGATGACCACCCTCTGGGCTGCTGCTTTAGACTCAGCTTCTGCCGCATCCTTCTGCAATTGCGAGAGCTCAGCCGCCTTAGCAGACGCAACCTTCTCCAACTTCTGCAACTTAGACGTCTCATTCTGCAGCTTAGTGGACAACTGCCGAATCTGCGCACACAGCGGCTGCTTGGAACGCCTCCTCTCCAGCAACGCGCTCTTGGCCGCCAGCGCATCGGCAGCCACCTGCTCCATGCCTGGCACGCAGACACATGCCGCATGGATGCCCTCTTGAGCCCCCACCTGCAACATAATCTTAGCGTCCTCATCATCCTCCGACTTGCTCTGCTCGGCGAGCTGCACCCCAGGCTGCGCCCCACTGGGGAGTTTCTGGGCATTCTGCTTGCGAAGCTCGGCGACCTCCGCCTGCAGCCGAGCGATCAACTTGGCCGTGTCCGATGCCGTTGCCCACGGAGGGGAGCGCTCGGGCTTGGGCTTGCGCACCGACGGGACCTTGGGCTCCACATTGCGAAGGAAACACGCTCCCTTGTGCATCCCTCCACACCCGTCTGTGACCCGCCCAGCACAGTACATCTTGTACCCTGGATTGACCCAAGGTTCACCAGAGCGCTGCACACAAAAGCGACACAGCCAATCCTGCTTCTCAGGCGGAAGGGCCATGGCTGCGACGGCTGGGGAGTCAGGTTGGAGGCTCGCGAACCCCTCGACCGAGGGACCTCCGTACACACAGTTAGCTGCCGCGGACTAGCGGTATCCGTTTTTGCCAAAGCGGGCTCAGCCCGCCAAAGCATAAGTCTTGAGCCAAAATGGCTACGGAGGAGGAGGAGGAGGAGGAGGAGGAGGAGGAGGAGGAGGAGGGGGAGGCCCTGGGGAAGTTGGGCGGAAAGGGAGCGGGAGCTCCCTCTCTCCCCCTCCCTCCCTCCCTCTTTCCCTTCCTCGAGAATGCAACTCTTGGGAGGTTGCATTCAGCAGTGGTTCTCGTATCTGGAATCCCGCCTAAACCGCTCCAGTCCCAATTCATTTGGCCTGATCCGGCTCAGCTATGCTAAATCAGGTGTTAATTTGGGTCCGATCCGTCCGAGTAGCCCCCCTAATGGGGCCTGACTGCCGTCAGTCGTTCCGGCGAAAACCTTCCAGGAGTCGCCTCCTAACCCCGCTTTTCCCCCTGCCTCCCCCGTGCTATCTTCGCCCTCTCTCCACCCTCTCTCCCCGATCCCGCTCTGCCCGATCCCAGCTCGCCAGGCGCTGGAGCAGTTCATGGAGGAGTCGTTGTTCGCGCCGCTGGGCATGCGGGACCCGCGGGCGGCCTCGGGGACGGGAGGAGGAGGAGGAGGAGGAGGAGGAGGAGGAGGAGGAGGAGGAGGAGGAGGAGGAGGAGGATTAGGATGAGGAGGAGGATTGGGAGGAGGAGGAGGAGGAACCGGAGGAAGAGGAGGTGTGGGATGAGGAGGCGAAGCACGATTCGCATACCTGGAGTCGTAGGAGTAGGATAGGGAGAGAGGAGGGGAGAGGGTTGGATGACCAGGCTGGAGTACGAGGATGAGGAGCAGAGTGGATGAGGAGGGGGACGAGGAGGGAGGAGGGAGAGGAGGACGAGGGGGCCAAGGGGGACGAACACGCAGGAGGGAGAGTCTGGGAAGGAGGCAAGCAACCGTAATAGCATGATGCTGGCCTTCTTGTGCGTAGGTCTCAATGCCTATTTTCATTAGGGTGCAGTTTCTGGGCTTGCGATATTTGGACCGGCGAGAGTACCGTGCCACTGCCACTCTCCTGGACGTGGGAAGCCTGAACGTGTTCTGGACGTGGGAGGCTTGGGGGCGTGTCAGGGGGCGCATCAGGGGACGTGCCTGGTGACGTGCCCCAGGGCGTGTCAGGGGGCCTGCCTTGGGGGGGTCCTGTGTCTTATCACGTTGCTAGTTGTAATTCCAGCGCCGTCTCCTGCGGACACGCACGGAATGTGGACCCAGTGGTCCTTCCAGATTTGTAGACGGAACCTGATGACAACCTTATAAATAAGAGACAGTCACAGCTTTGGCCGCGCATCAGTCCCTAAGGCGGCCCTCATTCGGGAATGATGGCGATGACGTGGCGATGACGATGACGGCGGCGAAGGCGACGATGCATGTGCTGGTGGTGGTGGTGGTGATGATGATGATGGTGATGATGGTGATGGTGATGATGATGATGATGATGATGATGATGATGATGATGATGATGATGGTGATGATGATGATGCTGATGGTTGTGTAGATGATGATGTGGAGGATGACTGTGACGATGGTAGTTGTGATGATGATGGTGACTATTGTGGTGGTGGTGGCGACTCTGATGATAGTGATGTGGTGGTGATGCTTCATTTTTCCTGTACTTCTCGGGTCATCCCGACCGCCCTGTTACACGAATTCACATCGTGACACGAGGATGCCTGGATTTGAACAAGTGTGATGGTGGTGATTGTAATTATGATGATGGTGTTAATGTGGATAATGGTGGTGATGCTAAGGGTGTCGATCGTCACGGCCTACTCTGGTGATAATGATGGTGTGATGGGGACGACGAAGACGACGATGATTCTGATGCCGATGATGCTGATAATGATGATGATGATGATGATGATGATGATGATGATGATGATGATGATGATGGTGATGATGATGGTGATGGTGATGGTTCCGCCTGTACACGGTGGATGGCGATGGCGAAGATGACGGGGTGAAGGGGGAAGTTTTACCTGACCCTTGATGAGGAGAACCAGAGCAATTCCAGGATGCGCCAACGAGCTGCGATACACCTGCCACCCCAAGACCCCCAATCATGAGTCCCTGCAAGCATTACCTTTCCTTTTCAATGCGGCGAGCGCTCGCTGGATTGACAAGCACCCCACTGGCCTGCCGTTCAGGCGAGAGCCCCGTATGGAAGCAACAACGTGGAGGGAATTCGAAGGGGTCGGGTCAGATAGATCAAGCAAGTGTCCAGCAAGGGTTGCGTTCTGAAAACCAGCAAGGGCTCCGTTGACAATGTTGAGACTGCTGATGATGATTATGCTGATGCTGTTTACGATGATGATGGTGGTGCTGATGATGCTGCTGATGCTGATGATGACGATGGTAATGCTTATGATGATGCTGATGCTAATGCTGATGATGCTGATGATGCTGCTGATGATGCTGATGATGCTGATGCTGATGCCGATGCTGCTGATGATGATGCTGATGCTGATGATGATGATGATGACGCTGATGATGATGATGATGATGATGATGCTGATGATGATGATGATGATGCTGATGATGTTGATGAGGATGATGCTGATGGAAACGATGATGATGATGATGCTGATGGTGATGATGCTGATGCTGATGATGATGATGCAGACGATCATGATGACGATGAGGACGATGATGGTGATGCGGATTATTATGCTGCTGATGATGATGTCTATGATGATGCTGATGCTGATACTTATGCGGATGCTGATACTGATGATGATTAGGATGATGATGCTTATGATGGTGGTGATGATGATGCTGATTATTCTAATGATTATGATGCCGATGACGATGATGAGTCTTATGACGATGACGATGATTATGATGAATGATGATGATGATGATGATGATGATGATGATGATGATGATGATGATGATGATGATGCAGACGGTGATGATGGCGATGATGCTGATGATGATGCGGATGATGCCGATGCTGCTGCTGATGATGATTTCTATGATGATGCTGATGCTGACGATTATGCTGATGCTGATGCTGCTGATGATGATGATGACGATGCTGATGATGATGATGCTGCTGATGATGATGATGATGATGGTGATGGTGATGGTGATGATGATGATGATGATGATGATGATGATGATGATGATGATGATGATGATGATGATGATGATGATGATGATGATGATGATGATGATGATGATGATGATGATGATGATGATGATGATGCTGATGATGATGATGATGATGATGATGATGATGATGATGATGATGATGATGATGATGATGATGATGATGATGATGATGATGCTGATGATGATGATGATGATGATGATGATGATGATGATGATGCTGATGATGATGATGATGATGATGATGATGATGATGATGATGATGATGATGATGATGCTGATGATGTGTTAGTGACCACATGCTGCGGCTGAGGATGACGACCTGATTACGATGGTTAGTAAGATGCTGATGATGAGGAGGATGAGGAGGGGGGTCGAGAAGGGGGGAGGGAGGCAGGAGGAACGAGGGGGGAGGAGGAGGGGGAGGGGACGATAAGTAGGCAGGAGGAGGAGGCGGAGGAGGAGGAGGAGGTGGAGGAGGAGGATGGGGAGGAGGAGCAGGAGGAGGAGGAGGAGGAGGAGGAGGAGGAGGAGGAGGAGGAGGAGGAGAGGGAGGAGGAGGAGGAAGAGGAGGGGAGTAGGAGGAGGAGTAGGAGGAGGAGTAGGAGGAGGAGGAGGAGGAGGAGGAGGAGGAGGAGGAGGAGGATGAGGAGGAGGAGTAGGAGGAGGCGGAGGCAGGAGGGAGGAGGTTGGAGGGAAAAGTAACGCAGAAGGAGGAGGATGAGGATGAGGAGGAGGACCAGTGTAAACCCAAGAGTCATCAACGATGTTGGAATAAACCCTGCCTCCAAGCTCACAATAGCATAGGCCCCTACAACGGTGCTTTTCCATTGAGGAAACTGCCTCGTTGGAAGACAACCGTTTGAAGACCCTGAAGCATGCCAAAACATTGTTCTCGGGATTCTATCGCCACGGATCAACTCGATTATTGCGAGTTGACGATCCTGAATCGTGTTAGGACGCCATTCTTGGGACTTCAACAGCGACTCAATGTAACTGTTGCGCCCGCGTAATCCTGAATCCTTTCAAAACACCATTTCTGGTACGCGGGGCACATTTTTTAAAATATGTGAGCCGCGCTAGGGCGAGAGCAACATTTTGAAAACCACACGCCATCAACCGTGAAGCTCTTGCACATTTTTATGACGAATGTGCGCCGCGCTAAGGCGAGAGCCACATTTTGAAAACGGCCCGCCCTCAACCCGTGAAGCTCTTGCACATAAAAAAAAAACGAAGATGTGCCGCGCAGAGGCGAGAGCCACATTTTGAAAACGACCCGCCCTCCATCTGTGCAGCTGCTGCCAATTTTTTAGCTGCAGAGTCATACATGGTGAGGAAGTCTTAGGCGAAACGCCCAGCCAGCCCTAAAAGCTGGCCTCGGGTTGCGACAGGGAGAAATTATCTATTCCCCAATCAGAGCTTGCCTGTGTAAGGGTCCTAGCGGATTCATATGGTTAGGTGAGGTGGGCCGCCGATTTCGGTGGCCGGCCCGGGTGCCCGGGTGCTCGGGTGTCCGGGCCGTGCCCGGGGGTGGTGCCCAGGTGCCCGTGTGCCTGGGGGTGCCCAGAGGTGCTTGGAGGTGCCTGGAGGTGCCCGGGGATGCCCAGGTGCCCGGGTGCCCGAGTGCTCTAGCGCCTTATAGCCCTATAGCCCTGTAGCCCTATAGCCCTATAGCCATAGCCATACAGTCCGAAAGCCCAATAGCACTGTAGCCCTATAGCCCTATAGCCTTATAGCCCTACATAGCCGTATGTAGCTCTATAGCCCTATATAGCCCTACAGCCCTATAGCCCTATAGCCCTATAGTCCTATAGCCCTATAGCCCTATAGCCCAATAGCCCAATAGCCCTATAGCCCCATAGCCCTATAGCCTTATAGCTCTATAGCCCTACAGCTCTATAGCTCTATAGCCCCCAAAAAATCGGATTGGGCTTTTCCTGCGGTATCATAAGGACAAGGAATCAAGAACGGGAAGGAGGA